TGTGTCATTTGGATTGCTTGTCTTGTCATATTTTGCTGTTGTAGCTTATTGGTTTCATATTTGATGCTTCCGCACAACAATATTTTATGCTGGAACTGGAAACTTGCTGTGCAGGGCAGAGGACAGAGTCATTATTTTTGACCTGCAGCAGAGAACTATTGTTGGGGAGCTTCAAACTCCTTTCGTAAGGTATATTGTTTGGTCAAATGACATGGAGAGCATTGCTTTACCGAGCAAACATTCAATTGTGATAGCAAATAAGAAGCTAGTGCATTAGTGTAAAGAGTGGAGCTTGGGATGACAATGGCGTCTTCATATATACAACCTTGAACCACATCAAATACTGCCTTCCTAATGGGGATAGTGGAATCATCAGGACCCTCGACGTTCCCGTATATATAACAAAAGTGTATGGAAACACCATACATTGCTTGGATCGAGATGGGAAGAACTGTGCCATTGTTGTTGATGCAACAGAATATGTTTTCAAGTTATCCTTACTGAAGAAGAGGTATGACCAGGTTATGAGCATGATAAGGAGTTCTGAGCTCTGTGGCCAGGCCATGATTGCATATCTACAGCAGAAAGGTTTCCCTGAGGTTGCCCTTCATTTTGTGAAGGATGAGAGGACTCGCTTCAACTTGGCACTAGGGAGCGGGAACATCCAGATTGCTGTTGCTTCTGCCAAGGAAATTGATGAGAAAGATCACTGGTATCGATTGGGAGTGGAGGCCCTTCGTCAGGGTAATGCAAATTCATGGGCTCCATGATATTGCCGAACGTTTGGCGGCTGAACTGGGAGATAATGTTCCTGTTTTACCCAAGGTGAAATCTCCGTCTCTTTTGTTACCACCAATGCCAATCATCTGCGGAGGAGATTGGCCCTTGTTGAGGGTCATGAGAGGAATATTTGAGGGTGGTCTTGATAATGTGGGCAAGAATATTGAGGAAGATTATGAAGAGGCTGCAGATGCTGATTGGGGAGAGGAGTTGGATCTTGTTGACGTGGACAATATTCCAAATGGAGACATCAGTGCAGTGCTGGATGCGATCTTGAACTTCCACCTGAGATTGATACTCCAAAAACTGCCAGCAATGCCCGTTCTTCTGTGTTTGTTGCCCCAACTCCAGGTATGCCTGTAAGCCAAACCTGGTCCCAGAAATCATCTCTTGTTGCTGAACATGCTACTGCTGGGAATTTCGATATTGCAATGCGTTTGTTGAGCAGGGAGCTGGGTGTAAAGAACTTTGATCCCTTGAGACAATTATTTCTCGATTTACACATGGGCAGTCATATGTATCTACATGCCTTCTCGGCAGCTCATGTGCTCACCGTGGCCATTGAGAGGGGATGGAGTGAATCAGCTACACCTAAAGTTAGGGGTCCTCCTGCTCTTGTATTTAAATTCTCAGAGCTAGAAGAGAAGCTTAAGGCGGGTTACAAGGCCACAACGCAAGGGAAATTTGCTGATGCTTTACGTCTTCTCCTTGGTATTCTGTATACTATTCCTCTGATCGTAGTTGATTCAAAGAGAGAGGTTGATGAAGTAAAAGAATTAATTATCATTGTAAAGGAGTATGTTCTAGGTTTGAAGATGGAGATTAAGAGGAAGGAACTTAAAGGCGATCCGGTTCGCCAACAGGAGCTAGCTGCTTACTTCACCCACTGCAACCTTCAGATGCCTCACTTGAGACTTGCATTACTAAATGCCATGAGTGTTTGCTATAAGGCTGGTAATCTCAACACGGCAGCTAACTTTGCCAGGCGACTTTTGGAAACCAACCCCACCATTGAAAACCATGCAAAGACTGCAAGACAAATCCTGCAAGCTGCCGAAAAGAACATGACTGATGCAACCCAGCTAAACTATGATTTCAGAAACCCATTTGTCGTTTGTGGGGCAACATACTTGCCTATTTACCGTGGACAGAAGGATGTGTCATGCCCATACTGCAGTTCTCGGTTTGTTCCGGACCAGGAAGGGAAGCTCTGTTCTTTTGTGATCTTTCAGTGGTTGGATCAGATGCATCTGGTTTGCTCTGTTCTCCTACCCAGATAAGATGATCTCCTGCTGCTCAAGTGGGAGCAATTTTTCCAACCTTCAAGTCCGACAACGGTTATGTTAGTTTTATCATCTCCTTGAGCAGGGTTTCTATGTTAAAGAACGCAATTTGATTAGGTTGTGTGCTTCTCTTGTATTTCTATTTCAAATTTTATTTCAAGGTACGTGATCATGATTTCGCTGTAATGAACAGGTTGAGCATTTTGGTCTAGGTGATTCTTGTGACTTTTGAAAATAAACAAATTAGATTGAGTTGGTAGATTATCAATCCGAGAAATATCAATCTGCCTGGATTTGTAACTTTGAAACCTCATATATTGTAGACACCATTTTCGTGTTAAAACTCGTTTTTGAATTCCATCCGAGAAATATCAATCTGCCTGGATTTTGAATATGTTGTGTTTGGAATGTATTTCATTTCTTGTGTGCCTGAGTAACTTTCTGCCAATTATATTCACATCTTGGTGTATGATTGGCATGGAGGTGGAGGAGTGCAAGTACGCCAGTGCTCCGGCAGTTTCTGCTGCGATCTTCAGTCGTAACTCCCGTGAAAGCGTTGATTCTTTGCTCTTTATGCTATGAAGATGATCAAAGAGTTCTCCTGCTGATGAAGCTTCACCACATTTGGGTTGAAGCTCCGATTTTCGACTTTTCTAGGGCAACCACTGCCTTAAGTTCTTCTGCTCTCATGGTGGTAGTCTGTGGCCTTCTCAAGTCCTTCTGCTGTAAAGATTGTTGTTGTCTCCATCGATCCCTCCTCGTTGACTCGCGAGTCGTTGTTGTAACAACAAGCCACCATTTCCTTTGAAATACTTTGGTACCAGATAATTAAAAAAAAACACTTAGAAAGCCAAGGAAAAAAAAAGTTCACTTTTGCACGCACTTACCTATTACTTCACCGACTTTAGTAGTTGATATACGGGGATTTTTTTTTCTTTCTATAACTTTATTTTTTGAAATATTTCTCACTACCATATTAACAATTAATTATCATATACACTAATTAAGTACGGAATGTCATAAGCATGTAACTCGGGATCTTCCAAACTCATACTTATTTTGAAGAAGAAATTAGCTATAGTTTTTGGGTGTTGGGCCACTTCTTACGTGCAAAAGTTGGGATCTCCACCACCTAATGCTCTGATACATACCCTAAATAAAAACATGTCAAAATGATGAATAATAGTATTTTATTTTATACAAGCGATACTTTACTTTCAACTAAATCTAAACTACAGCAAAAGAAAAATTCAAACTCGAGGGTACAGAGGAAGCACATTGGCTCTAGCTAATGCGGCTACACTTACAGTCTGTGATGAAAAATAACACTATTTCACTATGGCTAGAATGATAAACAATGTTGAGTTGATTATATGAAGCAGTGAATTATCTTCCATCATCATGTGGAATTAACATCTGGATCTGCATGCTGTCATACCCAATAGTTGTAGTAGTACTAGGACCACAATTAGCTCTAACATCCACAGGATAAGCATCTGAGTTACCTGGCCCAAGTAAGCACTCAGTCTCTTCTGAACAAATTTCAGCTTTTCCCCATGGATGCTTTTCTGTAATTCTCATTCCTTACAGCTCCATGGCAACTTCTTTCATTGTTGGCATGTCCTCCCCTTTTAACCTTACACATCTTTTTGCCAGATTGGCCACTGTTTTTATTGTCTCGATGTTTCTCTCGTTGAGTATGTCATCATCGAGAATTTCATTCAGGCGATCCTCCTTCATTAAACAAACAAAGAAATTTGCTAGGTTTCTCTCTTGCTCAGGCCTGTCAAAAGCAAGTGCCACTTTGCTTGTTAGTAGCTCCATAAGGACAACTCCAAAGCTATAGACGTCACTCTTATCTGTTAGTTGATTCGTGAGGAAGTATTCAGGGTCTAAGTATCCGAATGTTCCCTGCACTAAAGTTGTAAGTTGGGCTTGATCAAGAGGAATCAATCGTGAAGCTCCAAAGTCAGACACTTTTGCAATGTAATTTTCATCTAACAGTATATTTGTCGCTTTCACATCTCGATGTATGATTTGCATCAGAGCTGAGGAGTGTAAGTATGCTAGTGCTCCAGCAGTTTCAGCTGCTATCTTGAGTCGTAATTCTAATGAAAATGATGATCCTTTCCTCTTTTTGCCATGTATGTGCTCAAAGAGAGTGCCGTGAGCGACAAACTCGTAAACTAGTAGAGGAACTTCTAACTCCAAACAACAACCCAATAACCTCACCACATTTCTATGGTTGATTTGAGAAAGAACAATCAACTCATTGACAAACTGCTCCTTCTGCGTTGGGACACAAATTTTAGACTTTTTTATGGCAACCACTTTATTGTTATCTGCTGCTAATATTCCTTTGTAAACTATTCCATAGCCTCCTTCACCAAGGATTCTACTTTCATGGTAATTGTTTGTTGCCTTCTCAAGTTCTTCTGCCGTGAAAATTTTTGTTGTCTCCACAGAGCCTCCTTGACTAGCAATTTTTTGTTGTAACAATAAGCCACCATTTTCTTTAAAGTATTTTGCTTTGAGTTTGAGGAACTTTCTTCTTTGCATTCCCCAATATATCCAAGAAGCACTTAGTAAAAGCAAGAAGCCTCCACTGGCACCTGCAAAGATGACTCTCCATATGTTATTGACACATATGTAAGTAATCTCTAGGCAAGACATACTCTCCATATGTTATTGACAAGGTGTCGATGTTAATTTTGATATCATGTCAAAAACAAAGTGTACGTATTGATTCGATTGGTACATTATTGACAATATTGATTAAAAACCTATCTTCCAGAGAACACTTCTGATATAAGTATGTGTGAAAGTTTTGGATCTAAAAGTGGGTAAAGTAAATAAAATTTGAGTGCAATTGTTCAAAGATAAATAGGAAGTTTTGAATTTTAGACTAGGACTATGATATGACATGTAAATAATAAATTAACAACCTAAAGTAAGAGATTTGCAGCTGAGTTAGTTAAGAACATTCATCTTTAAATCCAGAGGCGATGTAAAAACAAGCGCCTAAAGAAAAAATTACAGTAAAACTAACAAATGCATACCTAGTGAAATAATAAGCGGGAGACTGAGCTTTGCTCGACCATTGTCCGCTCGACCATTGTCCTTGATGCAACTTTTTTCATCCGGATCGTATATGTACCCTTTCGGACATAGACAAGAATGACCTCCCGCTTTATTTATGCAGGTTCCATTACCGCAGGAGTCTGGAGCCTTGCACTCATCAATATCTGAACAGCAAAAGAATGAATTAAATCCATGAAGGGTGAAAATTAAATTCCACTATTGAGACTTTTTGTTAACAACTCGCTACTAAAAAAATGTTAAAGGAAACAGTTCATGAACCCACAGATTTGACAATCCACGGAAAATTTAGTAATTGGGTACAATTACTATTAGCTTGTGGACATTATATCTTCACCGAGCAACAGCATCCGTGGCTAATTGGTGACTACTTTGGCATCATCAGCTAAGCTTACATATTATTTTAATGATAAGGGTCATTTTGATTCTGATCTCTAGTCAACCTAATTGTTATATTAAAACCTTGTTTATTTAAATATTTTGATTGAGATTCCTAGCATTATTTAAGGGATTTAACATTTGCTTCTATGCATTCATTATCCCACAAATTATGAAATTTAAACAAATTCAAATCATATATTTTCAATATAATAATTACTTAAAAATTAATAATAGAGTAATATTGTTCTTCACATAGTTCTAACAAAAAAAATTAATGGAGGTAATTCTTAGTATATTTTAATAAATAACTATCGATATATTTTAAAACATAAAATAAATACATGTAATTAGCATGAGTACATTCACCAAAAGAAATATGGGTCCATATTAAATTAAAAATATGGTATATATTAAAATTTAAAATTATGGGTATAAATTAAAACTAAAAAGAATATTGGTATAAATTTAAAAAAAGGGTAAAAATTAAAAATAAAAATGTATGAAAAATACTAAAAAGATATTTTGGAAGTGGTTCATAAGTTTTTTATTTTTAAAATTGACATATGATGACATGTAAATAATTTAATATTCAAAAATTGACATGGACAAAAGTCAAATGATCTTGATCAAAAATGAAAAATAAAAGTTTCAATTAATGAGAAAGAAAAATGAGAAATGAAATCCTAATTTATTCTTATTTTAATGTTTTAAAACCACTGTAACAGAAAATATTATTTTATAGCTTATTACTGCATAGTGCAACCACCACTGGGTGAATCAATGGTTGAGAACGAATTTTAGGCTTGTATTTGACACATCACGTCTTGAGTTTGATTCCCGGACACAATGGTGGCTGGGGAGAAGTTAAAATACATTTGTGAGTCTTTCTCGCCCCAAAAAAGATATACTGCCGAAATGAAGCTACCAATTGATCTTTTTTTTTTTTCCAAAAGGAAACTACTGCATAGTGCATGCTTTTTCTATGACCATGAACAATTTTTCTGTACTAATATTATAGTCTACCCAACAAAAGTGGCAATTATTTGCTGACTAATGCTGTTTTTTTTATTTTTCTACTAGTACTATGCAACATATAATAAGATATAAAGGGATCAAAAGTGTGCTGAATCCCTCAGCGCAACCCCAATAAGCCTAACAATAAAATCATATATGCACAAAAGTCAAGCAAATTGAAAATTTATTTGTTTAACCATAATAAAAAAAGTAGACCTACATACATACATTACATTACATACATACATACATACATACACATATACATACAATATGTTTTGATGAACGCAAAATCTTTTATGATAATAATCAAATGGTCAAATGCTGTCTAGATTTATTTACCTTGGCAACCACCTGGGAGGTATGGGTTCCCTTCGTAACCTGACCGGCACCGGCATATGTAGCCCCCTGAAGACCGATTATGGCAGTAGCTATTTGCCTTGCATGCAAAAGTGCTCTCGTTTTTAGCTGCAATATCACATGACTCATTCCCAATTACCCAATCAATAATTGCCGGACGCTGGGTTGTATCGTTTAGTTCTCGATCACTCGTGCTGTTAAAGTTGAACTCGCCTTCTTGCACAAGGAACGCGTAGCTGCATCGGTGGGAGTCTAGCACATATGTATAATTGTTAAAGCTTCCCAAGGTCACAGTCCGATTTTTCAGCCCACTAGGGATTTTAGTTTGGCAACATCCAACGCCAGAGCAAGTATCCCGCCGATTGATAGCGTTGCCAAGATTGTCACATTTGGACATACACCCAGTTGTGTACTCTTCTTCACCCCGGTAACCTATAAAAAACGCATATGTGTCGCATCCAACTGCAACGAACACGTTTTTGGTTTCGGAGATGGTGTAAGGAGGAGACACCCAGAGCTCGGGACTGTTGGATCTGATCGAGTTGCCTTGAGCATCTGTTTGGGCCCAAAATAATAGTTTGGGCCGAGGGTAGGATCACTCTCGGCCCAGGAGGCCGGGCGGCAAAAGGACCATGGATCGGTCAACCCGTGGGAGTCCAAACCTAGGGCGGTTAAGACGAATCCTAGTGCAATGGGGAGTCTCGACGGGATCAGATATCCAGGAAATTAATCCAGCTTAGCTAAGGACTAGGTTCATAGTCCTAATAGGTGTAGGATTGGTCGAGGTGATCCGGAGAGGGAAACCTAGTCCGAGTAGGATGTAAACTCGGACTCAAGGTTCAGTACTATAAATAGGGGACGCTGTGCATCAGGAAAAGCCCCTACAAAATCAATACAAAATTGCCCTGCGCAAACTCTCACAACTTGTGATTTTTCTTTTTCCTTTCTTCGCTGACACATCTTCCGTTGGCATCAACAGCACTGTGGAAGCAACCGGTGATATCTTAAGTCGGCATAGATAGCTCTGTCACCGTAGAGTCAGTCGGTCTCGCAGTATCTTCCGTTGGCATCAACAGCACTGCGGCGAGGACGACTGGTTACCTATCCAAGTCTCAGTCGAGAAGGATTTCCGAATCCCTATTGGTCGAGGTCATCTCATCAGCCTTCTCGGCGAAGTGAGGTGTTACCAGGTTACTGTATTCGGCACATTGACAGCCGAATTTGAGATTGAACTTCGCAAATTAGCAGCCTTGTCTTCAGGCTCTAGAACCCAAGAGGCCGAGAATTGTTCCTTCCTCGGCCGCAATCGCAAGACACAGAAGTCAGCAGCGCGCTCGACGCAACATCATCAAATTTACTCCTCGGCCGAGCTCGGCCGACGAGTTGGCACCCCCCGCAATCACCGAAGGACGTAGTTAGCTTAGAAAATACTCGGTCTGCGCGCCACGTAGGCCTTTGTAGTTTCTAGGGTCAACATTTTGGCACGCCCGGTGGGACCCAGTGCTAAACTACGAAGTTCATGCCAATTGAAACACGATCGGTAAAGAAGAAAACAGCTATGGGAAAGTCGACAGCCGATTTGCCGAGTTAGAGCATAGGACAGAGTGTGCCACAGGCGCAGAACCTCCTTAGCGCTGCGACACCTGAGTCCACGAGCGCGACTCGCCGAGAGAGAGAAGTTAATCTCGGCGGTCAACCCCGTGGTTTAGAGATCCCTAACAGAAACACGTGCGTTCTCAATGAAGGGATAATAGAAGATTGCGACGAGGATGGTGGTGAAGGATCTGACCCACCAACGAGGTCGTTTCTCCGAAAGCGACTAGACGAGCAGTCTCGGTCAGTCGAGCAGACATTTAGTCGAGGCATCGACAAATTGCATGATGCGATAGTCAGTTCTGCTGAGCGACAGAACAAGTTGCTCGAAATGTTGTTTAGTAAAGTCGGTGGCAGCAGGCCTTCCGATCTTCTCCAGCATTGCCCTCCGGGAAACAATCCGTTACCAATTGTACCGGCCGAACCTATTCCTGCTCGCCCCAAACCAATTGAATTGGAAAAAGGTGGAGGGTCGAACAGCGGGTCAGACGGAACCAACCAGAGGAGTGAAGCAGCACCTGTTGATATGACCGAAGTCCAGCGGATGATTGACTCGGCCATGAAAAAGGGGCCGAAGTTTCCTAAGTTTATCCATCCGTACCCGGCTTACGTGGAAACGTTTGGATACCCTAAAGGCTTCAAGATTCCAGATTTTAGCCTCTTTGCCGGTGAATCGTCCTTATCTTCGTTAGAACACGTGGCTCGTTTTACCGCGCAATGCGGAGATGTTAATAGCGACTTTCATAAGTTACGGCTGTTCAACTTCTCATTGACCGGCTCGGCATTCGCTTGGTACATTAATTTACCCCCCAATTCCGTCCAGAACTGGGAAGAGTTGGTCGAGAAATTCCATGAGCAGTTTTATCGGCCAGGGATGGAGATGTCAGTTTCTTCGTTAGCAAGGATGGCTCAGGCATCTGATGAATCACCAATGGATTATCTTACTAGGTTCAAGTCAGCCAGGAATTGGTGCCGAGTACCTTTACCCGAAGTAGAATTCGTCAGGCTTGCTTTGAACGGGTTAGACGTCGAATATAAAAAGAAATTCTTGGGGGCAAACTTTCGGGACATGTACGAATTAGCCCAACATGTCGAACAGTATGACTATTTGCTCCGCGAGGAGAAGGTTTCGAAAACGCCATCTCGGGGGACGCTTTACAAGAATCCTACTGTCAACTATGCGTCCACCAAGGATGAATGCGTTAGTGTGGATGCGGCCGAGATAGTGATAGATAAGCCATACGTTTGCAAGGCGTTGACTCAGGTTGATTCTAGAGAAGTCAAAAGTCGCTCGGCCACCGAAGGAGCATTGAAACCGTCGAAGGTTTACACTTTTGATATTACCAAGGCTGACGCAATTTTTGACCAACTGTTGTCCGCAAGAATTATCAAGCTTTGGCCTGGTCACAACATTCCTAAAGCCGAAGAGCTTAAAGGAAAGGTGTATTGCAAATATCACAATTCGAGCAAACATACGACAAACAATTGTGTCGTATTTCGCGACAACGTCCAAAGCTGGATTGATAATGGTAAACTGAAATTTCCTGAGAAGAAGATGGGTATTGACGTTGATCCGTTCCCCACGGCAACCGTGAATATGGTCGATGCGTGCCTCCCTAAGGACAAAGGGAAAGGGAAGGCCGAAGTCGTTACGACGCAATGTTTTCGGACTCAGAGTTCTCGGCCACGCTTCATGGCCGATTTCCGTTTAAACGCACCACCTACGGCTTTAACAGGACCCGCTGTTGTCAAACCTATGATGGATTATACCACCGATGAAGACAGCGGGACGGTGGTTTTGTGCAGGAAATGTAGAACAAGGTCGAGAGTGAGTCAGAGGAGAAGCCCCCTTCACGTGGGACGGAACGACCCGTGGCCGCAACCCGGCGGACTGTTGCCAAGATAGGCCAACATCAAGGGGTTTTTGACAGGCTTGGTCCTAAAGTACGGATGGAAGAGATACCCCCGGTTCGGAGGCGCCTCGATTTTGATGATTCGTTCTATGACGATGATTACTACAAACGAAATTCTAGCAGCACAGAATCATCGCGGAGCCAGAAAACCTTCAAACCTCCTGAACCTAAAGATCAACGGTGGTATACATATCATTCTTCGAGGGGAGTTTACACGGCACTGTCCAAATCCCAAAAACGTAGGCACCAAAGGATAGATTGCATGGCTCGCCGACGGGCAACCCATGAAACTTCGGGCCCTAAATGGCGGCCGAAAGACACAATTGCTCCCGATGATGAGCGACCAAGTCCCTCTATCATGACAGAGTTGGTTCAAGGGAAACGGTTGGTCGACCGAGATGTTGAAACTACGTTCGAGGAGGCTGATAAACGGATCAAACTTCTTCTTCGGCCAGGGGAGATGAAGGCACGACTCGAGTTTTTCCGACAAGAGGCCGAAAGCAAGTTCGCACCGCCAGCTATACAAGAACCTTTGATCAAAATTCGACGGAATTTGCATCCACCATTTCTTGGGGAGGCCTTGGAATATATGCGAGAATTTCATAAGAAGCATTCGGCCAACGATCTGTATGGTTTGCCGAAGGCATGCCAGGACACTATTGATCTGGTCCTGACTTGTCCGGATGCCGAGCGAGTCATCCAAAAGACCTCAGATCCAGGACTGAAAGCAAGGTTCCAGCATATCCGAGAAGCTCGGGTCCTTGGATTTGAAGTTGACCCGTGCACCGATATCGGTGCAGCTGACCTCCCTTTCTCGATGGAGGACCTTCAGTATTTACGATATCACTTCGAGGTATTTTCGGCTGTTTCTCTCTTCGGCCTTACGGCCGATGAAGTTGCACGTGTCGCACGTCTAGATGCTTATCTCGACATCAGGGATGCCCGGCTTCACTATCAAGAGCAGGTTCAGGCTTTGGCCCCAAGAGCACTGGCAATTTCGACCCTGCCTGAAGCGGTCGCACAGGACCAACGACTCGCTGATGCAGCACCGCCGCATGAAGCCATCACAGAGGAAACAGAGGAGTCTTGTTGTCCAACTTTGACAGCAACGGAATCGTTCGTTGCCGACCAACCGAGCAAGGAGGGTATTGACCCAATGGGCCCATCAGTCCTGGAGAATATGGAAATCAGTATGGTCCATGTGTTACCTGCCGATTTTCAATCACGCACGGCTCAACCAAATTTCCTCGATGGAGATGTGGTTGCCAAAGAACCCGGCCATATTGATTTTGTATCGGTTGCTGAAGGAGAGTCAGCAACAAAAGATGATGGTTTAAAGGCTGCCTTGGCCGAATTGTTCCCTCGTTCATCATCGGCCAAGCTTCACCATTTAAAGCCATTGTATGTGACGGCTCACATTGAGGGGTATCCAGTTTCTAAAGTTTTTGTCGACTGTGGGGCTACCGTCAATATCATGCCTTTGAACATCATGAAGGCCTTACGCCGTTCGAATGACGAGCTTATTCCGTCAGGAATCACAATGAGTAGTTTCGTCGGCGACAAATCCCAAACCAAAGGGGTACTTCCGTTAACCGTCAATATCGTTGGTCGCACCCACATGACCGCCTTTTTCGTGGTTGATTCCAAAACCGAGTATAATGCACTGCTCGGCCGAGATTGGATCCATCAAACCAGCTGTATTCCTTCTTCGTTGTATCAAGTGCTTGTCTTTTGGGACGGCAAATCGGTCACTGTTCATCCGGCCGATAGCCAACCCTTCGAAGCTAACATGGTCCAAGCCCGGTATTATGATGACCACGTCGGCTATATTACATTGCAAGGTTTCAATGAAGACGGACGGCCGACTCAGATTTCGGTTCAGAAAGCTATCGAGGTTGGCGCCGAGACTGTCCACCAGGATTCGGCGAGACTCGGATTGGCCAATTTCCTCCCCGAGTCTGATGTCTGACACAGACCAGGACAAACGTAGGGCCGCGGTTTCATCTACGATGGAACGACTGCTGGCCCATTGGTATACTATATC